TGTGTGACACTATACCTTACTGACTTAAGTTTTCATATGTTCAATTTGAAAACTTCAATAAACTCTATCTATCTATCTATAAAAATGAAACAAAGTTGTCTTGCGTGGACTTTTATGAAAGGATAATAAAATGTTTCTAAATAAGGTTCTGACTGCTTTACAGTTGAAACTTGGTAAGGTGAATGAATCTTTTATCGGTATCATATTTTGAAAATTTCGACTCTCTAGTATCATCCAGACCAAAACTATGTGGGTTGAAAAATACGATGAAATGCTGAAAGTCTTGTTTCATTGTAGGAAACCGGTTTCAACTATTCCTCTCCTAAAGTCTACTATCAGTGTTTTGTTCAATGCTTCCTCGATAATGATATCCATATATCTTCATTTATAAAAATCACATATGCCTCGACGGACAAATTACATTTTGTTTTTTATCTTGTTAACATCGAAGATTCAGGCCCTTGATAAACTGTCATCCCCATTAGATAGGCCCCACCCAAAGGTAATGATTAAAGGGCTTTGTTATGATTTAGCCAATGGGGTGCTGTCGGAAGGGTTGTAACCCCTGAATACTCGCAATTATTTTGGAACATATCCGTTATAATAACATTTGAAATGTTGTCGGGTAATTCAGCTGATATTTGATTGTGTTGCTATTGTGTTTGGGAAATCTTCATGAATACATGAATATGTAAAAAGGGCTCACAATAGGCTGATGATTTCAAACCGCATGTCTTTATGATGTAGTAGCTGGTACTTAATAATACAATCAGATATGGGAACGTTTTAGTAGTTTTATTATATGACGTAAGTAGCGAAGAAAATGAATGGAAATGGATAATGAAAAATGTTGTGGTAGGCAATGTATGGAAAATAATGAACGTGATATTCACTCCTTGCTTTTTATATATTGGTTTATTTATAAGTGAAATCCGGCTCGAAGGACCAAATGTTTCTCATTAGGCGCGAGAAAAAAAAGAAGAGCTATTTCGCGAAGCGATAGAGAACAAGTTGAAAATGCACGAACCTTGTCTTCATGGTATGCAGGTTGCAGTTGCAAACTACCAATGTCGTTTCAAAGCGATATGGACTGTATGCAGTATGTCTGCCTTAGAACACTGCAGCAAGAACTTCACTATGAACTTTGCGGAAAAAGGTTAACGGAAATTTTAATTGTTAGCGAGCACGAAAATTGGCCTGAAGAACACTCAGTCATCTTCACTTTATCTTGTCTTCATGCCTGCACTCTACCTGATAATCTCACGGATGTTGATATGATTATTGATTTTTCCATGAACGGAGTCATGAAAGATGTCGGGAAGTATAGATGTTCTTGCTCTCAAAGAGGATGATGTTACCAAGTTGTTGGCGGCTGGAACACATCTTGGAAATGCAAATGTACATTTCCAAATGGAACAGTATGTCCATAAACGTCGCTCTGATGAAATTCACATTATTAATCTTCGTTAAACATTGGAGAAACTCTTGTTGGTGGCAAGGGCTATTGTTGCTACAAAACACCCTGATGAAGTGTTCGTCACTTCATCGTTCTTATGGACAACGTGCTGTCCTCAAATTTACTGCACATACTGGAGCTACTCCCATAGCAGGAAGATCCACTTCTGGTGCGTTCAATAATCAGATTCAGGCTACAATCAGAGAACCGCGTTTACTGATCCAGCCTTTCATTATCAGCCTATTACTGAAGCTTATCATGCCAACATTCCAGTTATTGCTTTGTGCAATACCGATTCTCGTTTGAAATTTGTTGACATCGCTATTCCTGGCAATAACAAGTCTCCACACAGTATTGGTCTTCTCTGGTGGCTATTAGTTAGTCAGGTCCTTCGTCTTCGAGGAACTATTCAATGCGATACCACGTGGAAGGTTGTAGTCGATCTATTCTTCTACAGAGAAACTGAAGGAACAGAAAAAGAATAACGAGCGGCCAAAGAGGCTGTTGCAGCAGTTGTTAAACCCACTGGAATTGCTGGTTCTGTAAATCCACCAGATATTGACTGGGATACCACTGAAACTGCTGACTAGGCAGCTAAGGTCCCACCAGTTGCTCATGTAGTAGCTGGCGCAACCCCTACGTATACAGCTAGCGGTACCAACGACTGAGCAGCAGGAGTTCAAGAACAGTGGACAGCTGCAAATACTACACAGCAACCTGCTGTTGCTACCAACTGAGGAAGTTCCAGTGATTGGCATTACTACATCAAAAAGTTCCAAACAGTGCATCACAAGGTATGATGTACTTATTGGCTCTACAAATGATTGGTTTGGTGGCCAACGATGATATTCCAAAGCAAACTTCACAGTTGTCATTATACATTCGTTATACTGAAATAAGTGTGTGTTTTGTACATGTTGAGAAAACAACTGAACCTGACATGGGAAACGCGAATAAGAATTCATAAAAGCTCAATAACTGTAATAGGACCATTATAAAAATGGTATTGGAAGATGTTCAAGCAGTTATGAGAAAATCAATTTCCCAAACACTTTGAGTAAATTGCAGCTCTTTTTTTTCAATTTGTCACTTTAATATTCGCATTTCTACTGTCTTTACTATATTGTGTCGAAATTATAAAAACAATAGGTAATTTTTTGACGATTACCCCAACTTTCCAGCTGCAAAAATGCATTCTAATCAACGTGCCTAATTTTGAAATTCTGAAGCTTTCCGAAAGACCAAAAAACTTTCTGCCTGGATCAATGAAAATGTCGAGTCTCAAATAGGAAAAGTAAGCAGGATTATGCAATGAAAAGAACGTTATTGCATTGGTGTAGTTCTTTCAGTCCTCTTGAATGATCAATTAGAAAACTTCTGAGAGTTGTCGTTCGTATGGCGGCGACAGTTGATTAACGAAAAAACAGATTTTAAACAGATTCAAACAGATTTACATCCAGTAAATTATAAACAATGAACTGAAAAACTTTGGAATTTGTCAATACTCACGTCATTTATTGAATCTGTAGAAGTTGATGAATCCCAAATTTGATTACACTGTTACAATTAATTTTTTTTAATGGAAACTCAATACTGATAAATATACTTGAGATTCATAATACATGCCGTTTCTGTAGCTGATTCTACCATTGCCATCTCGGAAACAGTAAGACCTACAAGTTCGATAAAATTGAACAAAAACTTTTTATTTTGGGAAACCAAAATAATCTCATTTCGAATTGGGAATGTCAGTAATATTTGAATATTCGACGAAAACCTGAATTGTCGAATTTCTTTTTTTGGCTCTACTGCCTCCATTTCAAATGACATAATCGAAGGCAAGGATCTTTCAATACTGTTTCATATTTGTTATAAATTTATTGAACCAATTTTTAATGCGAAGTTCAGTTCATTAAATTCCATCATCAACTTAAATTTTTCAAAACACACCTGTAGTTTTTTCATCAATTTTGTAGCCACTGCAATAATGAATTCAGCTGTGTATTATAATATATGTCCGTATCAAAAAAATAAATTTGATGATAAAATCTAATAAACGAAACGTCGCATTTCAAATTGGTTCACGTCAGACTGAAACGAATATGAAACAGTATTGAGAATTCTACAGCCTATTTTTATATCATTTTAAATGGAGGCAGCAAAAAAAACGAAAATCGACAATTCTAGTTTTCGGTTATTGTTTCAAAAATAACCAGCGATATTCTCGATCTGAAAAGAGATCATTCTAATTTCCCAAAATAGAACATTGGAACAACCAACTTTGTGGGTCTTACCGTTTCCTAGATAGACATAAAGGGATCAGCTAAAAAACTGCCTGTATATAAAATGAAAAAAAAGTTATTTCTGCTTTGTGTTCTCAACGTTCCGAAGTGAAAGATAGTTATTTCATTCGATATAGTATCTTTCCTCCGATTTTTTGTTTGAAAAAATCATCTACAAGTCGTATTTTCGTTTTGTTCGTTATTTCATCCCACTGGAAACTTCAGATTCCTCATGAATTTTCAACTATAAATTTAAAGCCAAATGGGATTTTTTTCAAAAGTTGTTCTTTTTCATAAACATTTTCTTCGATGAATTATGCAAACTTTTTTCAGGCTTTATTATTCAGTGCGTAGCAAAGCAGCAACCAATTGAAAGAAAAAGTATATCTATCGATTTCTAAATAAAAAAAAAATTAAAAATATTTCAGTAAATTCAGTAACTGAATTGATTATACTGAATTAAATCAAAATTATGTTTCTTTGGAAGTGGTTGACGTTGTTTATTCGTGATAACAATCATCACTCGAAAAGAATCATGAAGCAAAATCTTGATTTCTATACAGATCACCGTTCTTACAATATTTTGCTATTCAGTTTTTCTTCTTTCTCACATTACTCTTATTCTTCAACTAACTCAACGAAACATTTCGATATGATTATTTTCATCATATGCAATAATTTCAACTTTCAATTCAGTTTCATTTCATTTATTTTCACTTAGATTTCGAACCCATTAAAACCGTTTCAGGCAAGTTTGTCACATACATCAAAATTGTGATTTCAATCTGTTGTTTGTACTTATATGTGTGTATGTGAAAAATCTATTGAAACTATTTCAAAATATAATATAATACGAGCAGTACCTCGTTGGAAATGGTACTTCCAGAGGGTTGTTTATTCAGGTAACAAATGAAGGGGTGGTAGGAGGAGTTCAGAAGGGACCACCCCCACTGACGACTTTGTTAAGAAGTACCTACATGTAACAATCGTCTCGCCACTCAATTAGTCATCAATATTGTTATTCTGAACAAATTTCTACCATTGTGTCTTTCCTTGCTACCTTACTGGTAACTCAACTATCAATTATTTGTTGATAATGCAGAAATAAAACAAAATACTAACAACAACATAAATATATTATAAAAATTTCCATTCGCAGTCTCAAATATTTTCCTATATACATATGTACATCATCATAAAGTTATATCAAAAATATAGTATTTACCACAGCTACCAGTAGCACATTCTCAATTTTAGAAAAATCAGTTTTCGAAATCGTCCACCTTAATTACATCAATATCCACGTCTTCACAACTAAAACTTTTTTTCGAAGTCCTGCAATTCCTCTGGCAACAACAGCTCTTATCCGAAGAACTCGGGCTTCCTGATCCAAAACATTCGTCCTTCTTGCGTTTCACTCTACGATTCTGGAACCAGATCTTCACTTGCTTCTCAGACAGCTGCAGTCTATTCGCTATCTCTATTCTTCTCATCCTCGTGAGGTAAATATTGTTTCTGAATTCATTCTCCAGTGCAAGAAGTTGATGGCTGGTATAGGCAGTTCTGATTCTCTTACTTGAGTCTTTGCAGGATGCCAGGGCGTCTTCGTTTCCACTGTTTTGATCCTGGGGAGTGGGACTCGATTCCCGGCTGTTGCTACTCGTTGGGGAAATCGCTGGGGGAAGCACTGGTGGTAAAACAGGGGCACTTATCGGATGAGTTAGAGGAAAATGTGGCCGGACTCCCAGTGGCTTTGAAGGTTCAGGTCGTACTGGAGCCTTAGGCAAGTGCCTGGGTTCTGCAGCAAACATGTGTGGATACACTAGGTGAGGATTATGCTGGGCCAAATTCCACGAAAACAGATTAAAGTAGCTCTGATAAGGCATCATAGCAGGAAGAGCCAAGTTTGCACTCGGATGTAAGTTTTTCGGTTGTTCACTAAGTAACGATTCAACTCGAAAGGATCGGTCCATTTTTATTGCTTTGTCACTCACGCTCGTTTTCACCTAAACTCTGACTACTACTGTATGCGAGATGGGTTGGCACCCTCATATTTATAGCCAACCCCTCTTTGTAGTTATTATGTAGTTATCCCTTCTCGACTAGGGTCTCCCTTTCAAATTTTGAAGAAGACACGCCTCCTTGTATTTGAAGGCGAATGAAACTTTTTAATTTTTCATAGGTCGTTATTGATAGTAGAAATTACAAATCAACTATTTTTCAATGGAAACTCGAACTGTATGAAATGATTTTACAGCTATTGGGGAGTTTGTAGAATATATATTGAAGAAATAATGAATTTTAACATGTTTGAAAATGAGGCAAAATGATTCATATACATATAATGTTTATACTTTTGAAATGTTTGTTTTTTTAAGTATTCTGTTATTCCCATATATATTTTTTAAGCGCATTGCTTTTTTCTTGGTGTTCTTGTATTGTTCTTGTATGACTGAATATTTATTAATAAATTGATGGATGTAGCTGTTACTATAAATATTTATTAGGTAACTAAGTAATCTACTCTCATCTCGAAAATATTTACTGTATAAATGTTGTCATTATTGTTTTTGCTTTTTGTTGAATACATCTTTCTTTTTATGTAGTTAAGTGAGGTGACTTTTTCTCGAAACAAGTGTTTGCTCAATTATCGAGTAGGTATCATTTATACAAAAAATTATATTTACTGCATACATTCTCTCTCTTTTTTCATTAATTAATGATATTATTATTATTACATAAGTTATGAAAATGTTTCAAATTGTTTTTGTGACAAACTAGATCTGTTTTCGATACTGTCAAATATCTAGAAGACATGGAAACTGAAATTGTTTTTGTGACAAACTAGATCTGTTTTCGATACTGTCAAATATCTAGAAGACATGGAAACTTTGATGAAATTCTCACTGGAAATGCTATTGAGGAAACGGAAATGAGGGTTTTTTTTTAATATTTCTTTTTGTAACTTGAATCTATATTGTAGGTTAAATTTAAAATAATATTCATTCTCTTACAATTAGGATTTCAATACGTATATTTGGTGAATAATTTGAGAAGCAAAAGAGAAACTGTTGTTACATAGATTTTTTCCCTCATTTGTAGGTATATGTGAGAAATATGTATGTGAAAAACTTATAAATGTTTATGCCTTCCATATTTTATTTCATTAATACTATTTTTTCAGTCTAGGGAAGTCTTAAATTTTTATAAGAGAATGGAAGAGACCTATAGGAATTCGATTTGATTAGGCAATTATTTATTGCCAAATTTACAAGGTAATTACTGAATAAATTAATGCAATTCATACATATTCGTATTATCACGCCTGCTGGGTGAAAATCAAACAATCAATTCAATTTGAAACAAACATATTTTTGCGTATATTTTCAGGGGAGATTAATTTTTGGGAAACTAAGGTTTCCAAATAAACAAACAATAATAATAATTCAAATCCTGTTAATCTTTGCATTGCTGCTTTAAAGTAAGAAAAATGAAGTGGGGGTATCCACATGTAAAAAATACTTACACCCCATTATTGGTCAAAAATTATTTCTGTTTTCAAAGGTACCAAAAAAGAAATTATTGGTAGAAAATATTGCGAAAGCTTTATGATACATAAAAAATTTATGAAACATTTTATTGCTTCCTTATTTCTTTCTAAAATTTTGTTCTGCTCTGATGTGGTGTTTTTTTTTGTATTATCAACCAAAAATTTAACCAGTTTCCAGTTTTCACTTTTCTTTATTTTCAATAGTTTTCGTTCAGATACAGTATTAGGTCACCAATTTCTATTATTCTTTGGTGTAAAAGTAATAAAGGTAATTGATGGAAATTATATCATCATTCCGGTAGAATGTCCCGATAAATTGAAAAAATCTGTTCAACGGAAATATTCATGGAACTGAAAATCGGGATGTTTCTACATCTTTCTGGATTCATTACATAAAGCAAGTGAAGTTATGATGAAAAATACTGGATGGAGTTTATTTCTCAGGATCTTCTCAGGAAAATCAAACTTCCTCTTGAAACCGATCTTTTCAACACCTCGACACGTGTTTCAATCACCAAGTGATCATCTTCAAGATGATTCCTTGGTGGTTGCGATTGAACTCCAGTAATATTCATATATTATGCATAAGAACCTTCCTCTTGGATCACTCTATCTATTGAAAAAACCCGGGACATACAACGGAAAGCGACTTTGTTTTATATTACGTAGTGATTAGGCTAATTTATCTATAAATCGAAAAATTATTGGAGCCTTTTTGGTTAATATTTTTGAAAATAGTTTCACACGAGTTGTTGAAATGATTCTACTTTTCAGAGGTGTTTAAAACATTATCCAATTATTTGATATGTTTGTATCAATTCGTGTAATACCGCACTACCTGTTATTTCATTGTTTTTCTAGTTAGTAAGGACTGTGTGGATATACTTCTTCCGGAGTGATTCTTGTGTCAAGCAATAGGATATTTTCTATTGTTGAATTGAACTGGTCAATACATGTTGAAAATCCATATTGAAACTCCTTAATACAGCGTGAATTAATTCAGTGCTTGAGAAAGCTACTGTATAGTGGAACACGTGTCGCGGTTTTTGTGAAACCCTTTAGAGTGAAAATCATACAATAAACTGTATTGAGGAGTTTTTTTCATTTTCTGTTGTTCTCGAATACGTTTAGATAGTTTGACAAACATTTGACGGAACGAATACGCGGGGGGTATGTCCAGAATTGTTTCAAGTAGACCAGAAGTTTATAGAGTTTCAACTTTCTGCCAAATCATTCAGAACGTTATCGTAATGAGATTTCTGGGGAATCTCATATTTTTACTATAGATGCGCTTAGCTTAGGAATAAGTATGTTTTCTTTCCTCAGAGTTATTTTTTGCAGAGTTTAACAATATGTTTGATGTTTTGTTTTACCTCGGTGCTTTTTTTTGAGTTTTGTGTCTCTAACTTGCATGCTATTTTTTATTGTTATCACATTAGTAGGCTAGTTTTGAGTTTGTAATAGATTCAACGTGCTGTAACGTTTTTTATCGAGTCGCCGATATGAACAATACAAAAACATCAATTGGTTTGAATATCAAAATGCAAGGAGTTCGTTAAACATCGGCAGCCTACTGTCAAAAATCGGTATCAGATCCATAACAATATTCACTAGAGAGAAAGAGTGTTCATTCATGAATTCAATTATTGCGCGCTCTCTTTTATCGAGTGTATGATCGCAAAATAACATGAATTCAAACACATTAGACTTTTCGAATCATTCAACATAGATGTTACCTAATACAGCTCCGCTAGAGTTGAAGTAACCGCCGATTATTGACGGTAGTTTGAATGATGAAAATTCCAAAATAGTAGACACTAAATTCTTACATATGACTAATTATACTAGTATAGTATTATGATAAAATACATAGAATCACAACCTGACAACAATATTTTTGTTTTAATACAATAATACTATAATGGAATTTTAGTATAATCGAATATTTTAAAATAAGACGCCTGTTCAAAAAATGAGTTGAATGTTTGAATTTTGCGGTCTACGAACATTTGATGCACAAAATGTGCATCAAATTTCGTATAAGAAATGAAAATAAGTACTAAAAACACTTGAAATGTTCACAGTGGCATACGGTGATTGTACTTTCACGTCACATCGACATCGGCACATCGACATTCTATGTAAATTTTGTTAAATCTTCCTCTCGAAGATGATAACTTGGTGATTGAAACACGTTTCGAGGTGATGAAAATAATGGTTTGGTGTTGAGAAAAAACTCCAGTAATATCCATTACTACACCGAAGGCTTCAAATAGTGCATCGGAAGTGGCAAATCGCTAAGAGAGCTCAAGGACATACCAAAAAGTGTATATCGGATCTGCTGCAGATATTGGTAAAACCCCTATCATGAGTGTATCATACCTGAGGGTGACTACTCTGACTTAGACAAAATGAAAATGGACGAATAACCAGACTTCGTATTGCGTTACCATAATCTATATTATTGATTAGTATTTTCCGTCTGTAAGTTCAGGAAAATCTGAGAGTATACATCTATGGAAACATCATTTTGCCCAGTAGAAATAAAATGCAAAAGCAAAAATACGGGACGCAACACAAAAAATCGTCACAGTCATTATTATATTCCTTTTAATTCTCCACAATCGAAGGGCACTTCTTTCATCCAAACTTTCTCACACTCTACCAACCATTATTCTCGATTTCCGGACAAAAGATAACTAAAAATCTACTACAAGATTCTCTTGATCCGGTATTGCCGATTTCTATACTGGAGTATAATAGTAGTTGACTTTACTCGTTTTACAAATTCTGTCGTGAATGGAATTTTATGAATGGACTTTTACGACTCCCATACCTGTTGAATGATCATAGTAAAGGATCGGCTAATAATTTTTAAATGTTGTGTCCTTTGTCAACCTGTTCCGACGGGATTTATTCAACACTGACTTCAACATTTTCATGAATGGAGTTCGCTGCGTGATCCAGACTTTTGTGCACAGGTGTTGGAGATGCTTGGTGTGTAAGAGAGGTTTTTGAAAATCATCATTCACGTTTTGTGCATATTACAATGAGGAGGCACTTGAAACGAGAGCATTCCATTTTTTGGTGGTTGTCAGTGAAACGCAATCGCACTTTGAAAGAGGCAAATATTGGATCATTTCGACAGAAAATAGTAATGGCGATCATCAATAGCCTAAGTTTGTGAATGACAGACGGAATATTCGCTTAAAAGCAGGTATGTGAGTAAACCAACTTGATTAATTGCCTCCACAATCTGTTTATATGTTGTCGAAGACATTTCTACATAACAAAATCCAGTTTCATTAACAGTTCTAACAATGTGCAGAATATAACCTCAATTGTAAGTTTGAGATATATTCAAAAAGTATTACATATGAAACTCAAAAACGTCAAGTTTTTAAGAGCTACAACTTTTAATCT